TATTTAATCGATTAAGAAGGATATTTAATTGATTAAATCTTTAAGTCAACCATTTTTTTCCAGTTTTGACCATTTAATCGATTAAATCTTCAAGTTAATCGATTAAAGAAGGGCAGATTGGTAGATAGTTTTGGATAAGGGGGAAAATGATTATTAATTAATTAATGAAGGGCAAAAGAGTCAAAAAAACCTAATATTTATAGTTATTAGGTTTTTTATTTAACAGGTAAATATTTAGTGTATATATATAAAATAATATATTTTATTTTAAAAAAATAATACTCAAAATATTGCAAAAATCATATTTTGTCAAAAGTATCAACCATACTTTCATAAATAGAGATTTGTATTATAAATTTGATAATTATATGATTTTATTTGATTTGTAACTATAATATTCATTAAAATAATATTTCGTTAGAAGTATCAACCATATTTTCACAGAGAGAGATGTGTATTATAAATTTGATAATTATATGATTTTATTTGTAATAAACTCCGGCAACATGTCAAGTGAAGCAACAAAACTTGTGGTTGCACGTGTGAGACCCAACGGTAATAAGAAGTCAACTACGTGGCGGTTAAGGGATTTCAAATTTCAATGCAATAACGATTTAGCTTACGGGGTGTATAGGATGGGGAGTTCAAATGATTTTAAAGAATTATTTTTGGACAAAAATATCCATTGATATTTGGGGCATCGTGTCATGCCATGTGCACGATGATGGTCATCGCACTTAGTTCCGGATCCTTCATGAGATTTGACTTCTTTATATGTCTTTGGGCCTCTAATGGGTGTATTATATTTTATCCAGATCAATTTGTAATTAAGCTTATCTTTTAGTGAAAATGCTTATATTGAGGTAAGAAACTCAATTTAGGACAAAAAAAATTAATTTATTGCTTTTTTAATAAAAAATTACAAAAAAGTAGTCGTTTTGAAATTAATTACGAAAATATAACAGTTAAACACGCTCACATGGGGCATGTTCCAATGGGGAGAGACACGCCAATGTGGGGCGTAACTTAAGCGTGAGACACGCCCAAATGGGGTGTGACCAGGTTGGAGAGAGACACGTCCCATTTTGGGCGTGACCGAGGAGAGAGACACGCCTCATTGATGCGTGTTTTACCAGGTGCTGCCACGTGCACAAAAATCAACAGTTTGACCGTAAAACTTTGGAAGTCCATAACTTTTGACTCGGGTGTCTGAATTAGGTAATATTTTTTTTGATTCCACGTAATTTTTCGAGATCTACGTAATGACATCTCATTTGACATATTTTGTCTCTCAAAAAAAAAATTATTTACAACAATGATACCATAAGAACGTTTAAATCCAAATTAATAAACAGACAACCACTATTATGATTAGAAACATTCATAGTAAAGATCCTTATGATTTTGGTAAAAATACATCAAAACGACATAGTTTTATTAAAAATGACATAACTTTGTTACCTTATAATTATTACTAAAAATATTCTAACATTTTTATAATCATAAACAAAAACTTAAAAATCAAAATAAAACGAAAAGCACTCACTTAACTTTTTAATAAGGATCTTTATTATGAATGTTTCTTTTTTTTTTGGAGTTACCCAACCCTAATTATCTCTTTGAGACGAGTTGGCTCCCTCGGGTATCCCCACGAGCTTCGACTCTTTGAGCCGGCTATGAGACTAATCCGGAGTGCGGGGGAACAGTGATGGCTAAAGGTTCAGCCCCCTCTCCAAGAATGCATCCAGCGGGAATCATTATTATGAATGTTTCTAATCACAACAGTGATTTTCTGCTTATTAATTTGAGTTTAAACGTTCTTATGGTATCATTATTGTAAATTCAATTTTTTTTGTGAGAGACAAAATATGTCAAATGAGGATTCATTACGTAGATCTCGAAAAGTTATGTGGAATAAAAAAAACAATTATCTAATTTAGACACCCGAGTCTCAAAAGTTATGAACTTCTAAAGTTTTACTGTCAAACTGTTGACTTTTGTTCCACGTGGCAGCAAATTGGGTGTGTCTCTCTCCAACCGGTCACGCCCCCGTGGGGCGTGTTTGACTGCTATGTTTTCATAATTAATTTCAAAATGATTACTTTTTCGTAATATTTTATTAAAAAAATAATAAATTAATTTTTTTTGCCCTCAATTTACATAGTGGTTATTTTACTTTTAAAAATTTGGGATTTTTTTTACATTAAAATTTTTCGCTTCTTTATTTTGTAAAATTTAAAAATGTATTTAATTAAAAATCAAAGTCTTCCATAGTTCCATCTCAACCCAACCCATTCTTGAGTGTCATGTGGTGGATTATGCATTCATTGAGTCATCCGAAATAAGAGGGTAATATTCAAGTAAGCCAACAGCACCGACGTTGTTCATGTCTCGCAGACCTCACCTGCAATACGATTTTTTTTCATATTAATCTAATTATGAGGCGAGTAGGCTCTTTGGGTATTTCCATAAATTTTGACTCTTTGAATTGGTTGTGAAAATAATCTCGAATATAGGAAGGGTCAAAAATCAAGATTTTATAACCCTTCTCAAGATGATATTGGTGAATCGAAATTCTTCACTCACTTGTTTCCAAAAAAAAAAAAAATCTTCACTCACTTAGCTCTGTTATATCAACTAAGCTATCATAGTTAGGTGCGATTTTTTTTTTACCTCTAGCACTTTGGCGTTCTTTTTCTCATTTTAAATCAGCGTGAACTAGGTCGCGCAATCTGGATGTAAAACACGTGAGTGCTAATTCAATTTGATAAAGTTCAATTACGTTTACCTTTATCAAATATGGTAGGTTTGATATGTAATGTTTTGTTAATGAGGATTTGAATAGTTCCTTATTTTTATATAATTGTATATATAACAGGTATTATTGTCAAAAACTAGTGTACAAATTTACATTTTTACTAGAGTGGTGCGTGTTAAAATATATGTAAAAACGGTCCATAGTAAAAATTGATAAAATGCTGCGTAAAAACATAAAAATGGTAAAAACTTACATTTTTACTGTTTTTACTTAAAACAAATTTAAAAAAAATGATTTTAAAAAAATAAAATAAAAAAAATCCAATTTTGGTTTTCCCCAAACCATATGCACACTTGATATCTTTTCGTTTGGATATATGTCTTTTTTAATTATGTCTTATAAAGCTGCAATTCTATTATAAGTTATGTTATGAGAATCGTTTTGTACTTTTGGATTATTGTGTGCATTGAAAGAAGTGTAATTATATCCTGATGAGCAACGATCCAAAATCTGCAGAGTGTATGAAGCAGTTAGAGCAGATTGGTTATCTATTACTTGTTAGTTATGATTGTTTATAATTTTGATACTTGATTATCAAAAATAATTTTTCTTTTTAGATAGATAAGTGGCTCAACACACATGCTTATTATGTGATATTTTTTTTACATGCATGTGTATAATTTTGTATAATTTTGTATCTTGACCTTAAATAGTAGAAAGTAGAAAAGAGAAACTTTATATTTCGTGTCTTTTCTATGTTTTATGTTTCTACTATCCCTTTGAGTCTCTACGTATAAACTTGAGTTTGACAACATTGATAGCAGGTATCGTATTCGATTTTCAATGTATTAAAAAAAACATAACTTTTATTATGCAAAAATTTATTACTAAAACAATTTTATAAAATTATGTTAATTTGTCTCCACAAAAATCATGTCAAAAGATTAATCAACATTCGTTAACATACATGACCTGATATATCTAATCGAAATGGGGGGTTGAGTGAAAAGTTTTGGTGGGGCGTGAAGCACGAGGGTGTGGGCCCTGGCTAGCTGCTAGGCCCATACTGGTGGGGTTTGCAATGCGAGCTGGGATTGGTCCAACGCGGGTAAACTTTCGGATTACGTAACCACATTCACATGTAGGGCGTTCACTATTACATTGGATAACGTTGTCAATGGACCCCACAACCTTGGTCCATGCTGGAAAGTTCATGGTCTCAGAGTACACGTCACCGCTCCAATTGGGTAAAGCCTAGAACAACGCATGAGTCATTATGCCTCGGAAGGAATCAAGTAGAAGAACCAGCACAACCGAGAACAGAGAACAGAGAAGCTTATACTCAAGTCTCAATCAAACTGTTGTGAGCAATTCTCCTTAGTCCTTTCCAAACAAGAAAAAGAAAAAAACACTCCTCATTTTCTATTTGCTCTCGGACCATTTCCCTTTTTCTTTTAGTTGTTGAATTAATCAGGAAACAATCACGGGTATCTCTAATCCTTCTTTTTCAATTTTCCTACTCATTGTGAATTTACCCCAGATGCTTGCTTCTCTTAGTTCAATAGGATTTCATGTTAATTGTTACATGCACTGCTTTCTAAATACTGTTTTGGGTTTTTTATTTTAATTTTTTGGGGTGCTTTCTTACATTTTTTTTTATTAAAAAGAGGATTGTATCCATTTTGTTTGGTTGTGGTTTTGCTATCTTCATGTTGATGATATATTCTGCTAGTCTTTTGGGAGCTGAGTGGTGTGCTATTGCTGAATTCCCATTGATTTGTGTTTTCCAATCGTGGTATTTGTATTATGAGTAATGTGAGTGATAACTACTATCATATTAGTCATGTGTGCAAAGTAAGGAGTTTTTGAAACAATTCCTTTGGGATTTCCAATAAAGTTGGAGCCACAGGAGTGGGATGGACATTTGAATCAAGTGTTTGAAAATGTTGTTATGGTTTCAAGTGTATGCAACTGTATTCGATGTGAAGTTATTGTCTTTTTTTTTTCAGCTTTAAATTCTATTGACTATACTTCTTATGGAGATGTATTTTTCTTTTATATTTTCTAAAACTACACAGGACAACTTCTGATATAAGATGAGATTACCTGTGATGAGGAAAAGTACTCTGCATGCATCTATAAACAAGCTGTGCTGATATCTGGATTCTTCTATATTCAAAATTGCTACTTATAAAGTATGAGGTTTTATAATTTCAGAGCTTTTTTCATATTTGAAATTGAAAACTAAGGAATGGAGAAAGTTTGTGAATTCTGCACAGCTTTGAGGCCACTTGTTTATTGTAAAGCTGATGCAGCATATCTTTGTCTATGCTGTGATGCAAAGGTCCATTTAGCAAATGCGTTGTCTGGCAGGCACTTCAGGAACCTTGTGTGTAACTCATGCAGATACCATCTTGCTTATGTTCAGTGTTTGGACCACAAAATGTTAATCTGTCGAGACTGCGATAAAAAACTGCACAATGCTTCTTTACCTCGTCATAAACGAGCCATCAAAAGTTTCATGGGTTGCCCTCCTGCTAAAGAATTTGCAACACTCTGGGGGTTTGATTTGAATGAGATTGAAAACAGTGCCAATCAGGATCAGTTTGAATCTATTTCTTGTGTTTCTGCAGACTTGGATGTGGTACAAGTCTCAGGAAAGCCTAGCATTCAAACTGGGGTCTCTTCAAAGATATCTGGGGCTAAACTTGTCAGGGGATCGAGCAGTCAGCAAGGTCAGGTATGCACGATGGAAGTTTCACTACCTTTTTATTACAGTGATGAAATGTATACTTTTAGATTTCAGTCATTTGAAAAGGACGGTACAGCTAATGTCCTCATAATGTTTATTTCTATCTCACTTAAGTTTTCCATTTTAATTTCTAGAGGCACTCATAATCCACATTGTCTTTAAGAAGTGATTGACTGAAAAAATCTGAACTATAAAATGCATATTTTAAAAACACATATGAATATACAGAAGTAATATCATAAGATCTAACTTTACTTTTCATATTTTGTGAAAATGTATATCAGTAGATGAGTGCTTTTTAGTTAAGAGTTGAAAAGGACGTATACTGTTTATTGATTTCATTTTATCTTGCTCTTGCAGATATTCTACGGTGGTCAAGAGCGACAAACTATTCTGCAGCAGGTTATTGATTTAAAGCGGCTTCAGCTAAATGATGAGAGTGATCGTTCTACAAAGATAATTGAGTTACAAGAAAAAGACTTATCTCCTTCAGTTTATCATACTCCCAAGAAATTGGCTGAAAAATACAATCAGCAAGCACAAAATTTCCAGGATCACGCCACTAATTTTCTGGAAAAAGACATTCCCATTTTGGAGCTGAGTCCGAAAACTTTGTGTTCGCTTTCTCAACTTGATAATTTATCTTCATCTTCAATTATAGACCTTCCATTGCACAGAGAGTTGTTCTGGACATGCAAAAGTCCACTTCAAAGTAATCAGGTCAGATAATTATTTGTCCAATGTTGTGAGCCACAGTTGGACCGCTGGTTTTAACCACTGTTCTTCTAGATATTAACAAATAACTGCAAGCATATTCTCCTGGTTTGCACTTTGTTGTGGTGAGATGCATACCTTTGGAGCTGAGCATCATATGAGACTTAATCACAACTTATATGAAAATAATGAATTCACAAAAATATGCAATAATTGTTTGAGATAATTTACACCCTTTTTTTGTTTTCGAAAAAAAGAAAAGAAAAAGAGTACAGTTTAAAAGAAGGAAAAAATTACTCTTATTTACGTGTGATAACTTTATCTCCTACACACCCTTCGAGATAACTGTGCCACCTTTTTCTTTTCTTTTCTTTTTCTTTTTTAGATGGTAGAGCTCACAAATTTGTCTCTATGACATGAGATAACTTATCTCCTTTAATATGAGTTGTGTACATCCATTGGAAATATATTTAGGCTATAATGCAGATTGGGAATAACGAACCAAGGAATAATCTTAAAAACGCTTAAAATTCCATATTTGATATCAAATAATCAATGATAAGCTACCATCCATAAGACAGATAATATGCCTTATATAGGAAACTCAAAGGACCCTAAATCTGATTAAGACAAGCAACACAAACTTAATACTCAAGTAATCGTAGTTAGTAATAGAAAATAAATCCATAATCTGGCTAGGGATAAGATTTCCCAAGACCCAATCAACGAAACCCTAAATTCTGAAATTATTGATTATTAATCCCTAAACCCCTTATTACAATCCCTAAACTAAACCCCATTTTCTATTACACCATAAATCATAGATTAATATTATTTTATCTCCCCATTCTGCATTAGGCATCTAATGACGAAACTGTTATGCCTGCTAAAGCTTTTTCTATGCAGACATATTAGTCAAACAGAAAACTTCATGTTGATGCCATTGTAGCCGGCATGGACAAGCACATTAACATACTGATGAAAGAGCTGCATGGTCATACTGCAAAACAAATATAATACTTGCTTACAGTCTTATCTTGATTAAGTGCCCAGAAAAATAACCAAACATATGAAAGTATAAAAACTCATATTGTGCAAGAAACAAAACAGGATGAAGAAGTTCAATCAGCATCATAAAAAGTTTGGAATTTTTGTTCCAAACTTTTCATGCTAATGTATTAATCTTAATACTTGCTTCCAAATCTTTCTCACCGACATGAGACGAATGAATTGGACGTTTGACACCTAGTAGTGTAAGCAGACACTTCTTTTACTCTCTTTTTTGGTGACTGTATTAACATCTGATTCATTTAAATGAGATTGGTTGACATTATATTAGTTGTTCAGTATCAAGCCTTTGGTTAACTTTATATTTCTGGTCAAAGTGGAAGTTTCTTTTTGTCTATGTTGCAGTTGTGGTCCCAAAATATTCAAGACCTTGGGATATGCGAAGAACTTGTCTGTCAAGATGATTTCAACATACCAGATGTTGACTTAACATTCCAAAACTTTGAGGAACTATTTGGAGGAGATCAAGATCCAATTAGAGCACTGCTTGGTGATAAAGATGTCTCACCCACTTCTCTAGAGAAGGATATGTCGGTTGATAAGTCAGATATCGACAATCCAAGTGCAATGGAGGTCTGAATTTCTACCTTTTTGCTTTCAGAAATTTCTAATATCTGTTATTCTACATTTAAATACTTCTCAGTGTATTGATAATTTAAGTGCGTATTGAAAATTTAAGTGCTACATCAGACAATAAAGTTAAGGGAAAAGTGTTTCTCCTTTTAAATGACACAACTTATGTCATTTCACTCTCACAAAGAGGTGGGATCCACACCTTTATATTTTTTTATCCACTCTCTCTCCTCCTTTATCTATCTCTTTCTCTCACTTAAAATGACACAACTTTATATCCTTTAAAATGATATACACTTTTCCCGTTAAGGTAATAGAAAAACATCTTAAAATTTACATGAACTTGAGCTGAATATGAACTGGAATTCTTGTCGTATGATTATTTTTAAAGGATTAAAGACAATGTCAATGCAGAAAAAGCATTATATGATGAGAAAGTGCACTTTTCCTTTCAGTGGCTTACAACTTTTTTCCCTCAAAAGAGGAAAATGTGAAAGTCATCAAGTTAAGACTTGAATTATATTGGTGTAAATGCATTCTTGTCATTCATTATTAGTGGTTGTTCCAAACATTTCTTTGTAAAGAATTGAAACATATAAATTGAGTTAGAAAGGTAACATATATACTGTGAAAATTGTTGCATTCAAGATTGAGGAGACATGGTAAAATACTACTTTATATCCAAAATTGAGTTTGCTTGGAATTGCACTCCCTGTCTTGATATTTGCAGCTATTTATAACCATAGTGTTTCACTGAATATAGTGCCTTAGAAGATTTGATGGCTCCTGCATTCTTCCATATGTGATGCAATGATTTAGATCCATATATATGTATTGTTGCTTGTATAGTGAGCTTTAGAAGAAAAAAGGAATTTTGTGCTCTAAGGTTAATTCCATTTGATCTGCACCAAAAACTGGTATTCAAGTATTTGTAGATTGTTCATTGAGCTAAGGTGTAAGATGTCAAGGTGACATCAATGAGATAGTAAAATACCTTGTCTCCATAATAAATTGCTATTTAATGATACTGTTGTTTTTCTTCCATGAAAGGATTCTTCGACAGCTGTATCCATTACTATCTCCCAATCTGCGCATGAGAACAAGGATGAATCCTCTTGACCAGTACTGTCCAAGAAGAGTAGATCCTCCACATGCAATTCGACCATTTGAGTCAACTATATCATTCTCTTTTTTGAGATTCAGTGCTGAAAGATCATGATGACAGTGCCCTTTCTTCCTACAGTGAAGGGGAGGGTTATTCAGGCTATTAAGCTGAATTGGAAATTGCACATGTGAAATGTTAATGTGAAGTATAAAGAGAAAACGTCTCAACTGTGAGTATGAGTGCTAAGTGTCTTGGTGCGACTTCGGTAAGTGCACCAGTCGTACAAGTAATGAAGTGTACTGAGTATGAGATCGTTTTCAAGAGGATTAGATTTCAATCACTAATTCATTATTTCCGCTTAAATTGGACAATTGATTATGAGATTTGAATGGAATTTGAATTCAAAGTTAAAAGAAAAACATAAAATTCGAATTACTTGACAATTAAGAAACACAGTTAGGATTTCGATTTCCCCCAATCTCCCCTTATGTTATGAATTAAAATCTTTAATTAAACGTCCTTAACATATCGTCGATCGATTCCCCTAAATTAATTAGAATTCAATCCCTTGACATTCTAACTCTTTATTATTTTGAAAGAATCCTAGTTCCGCAGTTATTCCTCAAGAAAACAAGCATTAAGTTCAAGAATAATAAAGATTGTATAAAACCTTATGTCTATCCTTAGAATCATAAGGATTACGATGAGATTATCATGCGCGGTTTATGTACCAACATCCCTATTGTCATACAATCACCCTAGATCAATCTACAAGATCAAACTCATAGAAAACATTAAGAGAAAATGAACTCATACAATATAAAAAGGAAAATTTATATTAAAGATGTCTTTAAAAAATAAAGTTTCAATTGGGTTCCATCTATAGCCCTAACTACAAAGAAAATCTAGTCTAACATGATAGAAAACAAGAAATCAAGGAAGCTTCCCAAACTCCATTGGTGTGATGGCGCGGTTAATCTTCAAGGTTTCTAGCGTAATCTTGACTCCGACCCGTCTCCGGCTCTGAAAAGCATGAAGAACGCGCTTCTCCGATGAAACTATGCCAACGGTGTCAAGTGTTTTGAGTTTCCTCTCAATATTACATTAAACATTAAAAAGGCATAAAACCCTAAATTTGGGTCTAAGTAACGTGATGGGCCTTAATTGGGTTGCAACTGGGCATTAAAACCCGCTGGAGCGCATTAAAACACGTCATTTTGACAACAAAAATATAGTTTCGTATTTTGGATATAACATGAGATATACTTGTCCGATTGATGTGATATTGCTCTTGTTGGAAAGATAAAAGAGAGATCTACAACTTCTATGAAGAACACAAAATCCAAATCCATCATCTTCGATATGAAAAATTGGCCGAATTACAGCTTCAAAAATATTTTCACTAAATGGTTACTCCTCATTTATCGTTTTAAGTCCTTCTAGCTTAACCATTGCTCCAATGCTCCAATTCAACTAAATTGTCCTGCAAAACAAGCAAAATTCATTCACATAATTCAATAATTTAAAATCCATGTTTTTTAGTCAAATAACTCTAAGTTTTCATACTTTTAATTAGATATACGAGTGATTTTAGCCCTTAAAACATAATAAACTATGAGTTTATCATGTCTCCCGTCGGGCTTATTTAGCTGAGTAATTTTAATATGCTGTCCAACCATCACGTACCTGTTATGTTTAGAGTTGATATCTGAGAATTTTATTTTTGTTACCATATTGATTTAATAGCAGCAATAATGCATTTCATCCCTGCAAATATTAATTATTAAATTAATATATGCATTTCTACAATTTTATTATATTTATATTCTTTTGCTTCCAAGCATGAGAAGCAAGTTCGACTTCCATCCAGGAAACCTGAAGCTGATATGAGAAGGAGGTTGAAAGGCATTGCCAAGCAGATAGCTATCGACCTTTACATCTGAATGCTGTAGATTCACTAGATCAACTGATTCTTTCAACTCCATACACACTTTATCTGTTTATATTTTGTATCTAGTATAGCAGCATAATATATTACTTAGTATTTAGATGATTTTGATCTGTGTGCATGTAGTTAGGAATAAATTCCAAACAAATTCTAATCTAAATTTGAGTTGACTTCCTTTTAAAAGTCTAACCATCTTGATTGTTGCTGACCTGAACCCTTTTTATGGAATAATCTAGCACTACTCATATAGTCGTGTTCCTAATGGTGATGCAACAAAGATTCCAATTCAAATCAAGTTTAGGACTATGCTCGACAAGCAAACATTTTCACTTGCAGCTGAGTGCATTGAGACTAGAAGGAAAAGGGACATTTGGTCCTTAGGCCTTGATAAAAGTATGACCAAACTGTTATGATAGGGAAAGGTAATCTGACCGTTGTTTGTTTCTATTTAAAGATATTATTTGAGAAGAATTGTGTGGCTAACTTAACAACCGTGACAAATGTGAAGGGCTTCGGTTATTGTCTGTTGGAAGAGAAATTAATGTAGGGATCTTTGGGTTGTGTTGTTTTATTCAACAAAAGTTTTGATAGAGTAGCGATTAGGGGAAGAGGTGGTTGTTAATGTGATAAAGAAGCAAACCATGATGAAACGACCATGATGGGTTTTATCTGCCTAAATGATGACAAGTGTCTTATTCCACTTGGTGACTTGAAAATTGGAAACCCAAGCCAAGACCACCAGCTGGCAGCTAGTACCCTCCTTCAAACTAACTTCAAATTCAAGCATTGCATAATCAAATGCTGTTCTAACCGCAACTGTACCTTGAATAAGCTCTCTAAACTGTCTCGGCTTATATTATCTTTGTTTTAGAACAGACAAATATATTAATTCTTTATATACGCATGTTCAGTAGAAAGAATAAGTCATATAAGGTGGACCCTAATTTGGGATTTTGATGTGATTGAAGTTTGATTAGAGTAAACATTTGATTTTGCCAACTAAGAGATGCTTATCATATTTCGAGTAAATTTTCATTTTGGTGTTTGAAAGATTTTTGGAATATTGATTTGGTCCTAATGACAAGATTTTTAACGTCAAAATTATCCAAATTATTATTTATTATGACCCAATTGATGTCATTTAGAGGTCGTTTGGTTCACCTTTAAAAAAAAGTAACTTTTACTACTTCTTTATTTTTAAAGTACTTTTTACAAAAGTTAAAGCTATTTATATTTTTATAAAAATATTTAGTTTTTTAAAAAAATATTTGGCTTTTGACTTCTACTTTTCTGATAAGTTAAAAATTTTAGCTTCTGAGAAAAGTAGGTTTTTGACTTTTTTTGTGACTTCTCTTTTTTTTAAAAGTAGACATCCAAATGAACTAAAAACGAAAAGTGCTTTTTTTCTTAATAAAAAGCAGCTTTTGAAGAAAAAAAACTCATCCAAACAGGCCCTTAATGATAAAAGATAATAATTTGTTGACCAATTTATGTCCCTATTTTTTTTAAGATCAAATAAATATTCTGAAAGGTTTAGTCTTCAGCTATCGGCCGGAGGATATCATGGGAAACCAAAAAAAAATTAAAAAAAAATATTCTGAATTTTTTTCTAAAACTAAATTAATGATTCAGTCTATGTTTTTTTATAATAACATTATTTTCACTTTTATCACGACATACAGCATAGATTTGAATTCTTCAAAATATATAATACACTGCTTACCATATATATATATATATATATGAGTCAGGATCATTTTACACCAGTGTAAGTTACACTCTCAATCTTGTCCGTTAATCCCACTTATATCTAAGGGCTCTAATTTTTTAATAATGTGAGCCATTGGATACAAGTTGATCAATGGTCAAGATCGAGTGTAAGACTTCTAACTCTTACACCAGTGTAAGAATATCCTGCCCCATATATATATATATATATATATATATCTATATATATATATATATATATATACACTGTATTCAAAAATATATATAATTTAAAATAAATATATAGGTGAATAATTTGTAATAAAAAAATTTCAAAGATATCAATTTATTGAACTTATATTTTATATAGGGAAAACTTTAAAAAAAAAAAACCATAAATTTTCTCAGAATCACTTACCTCCTCCCAAATTTTTTTTAATTATTTATACCCCTACTTAAATTTCCTTTATTACTTACCCCCTAATTTGATTTTCTATCTAAATTAAAGTTAACAAAGTTAAAAAAAAAATTAATACCAAAACTAACCTAAACACAAAAGTAAATAAATAAAGAAAAAACTAACGTTGTGAGTGTTTGTATAAAAGATTTCAAACCTACACATGTGAAAGTATCAGAATTTGTTTTCACTCAAAAAATTTTATTTCATTAACTATTATCCAGTAGATAATATGTTACTATAATTTCAGACATAAGGATCTTTTGCATCTGACGGTAATCAAAAATTTCATTTCATCAACAAATTTTAATGGAAAAACTTGTAATGTGTGTTTTATATCATCAAATTAACCAAAAGATAATATGTTTCTTGCCCTTATCAAAACTACTACATTAGCTTAAATTCTCCTAACAAGAAAAATGTTGGACATTCCATGATGAGCAAAACAAAGCCAAAATCTCCTTTCTTGTGCCAAAAAAATGGGTTTCCAAAAAATCTGGACAACAACAACAAACTTCAAATCATTGAACCTTCATTAGGTGCTAAGGGGGCATCAGTACAAGAGACTAAGAACACATAAATAACAAATTGAAATAAAATAGGAAAAAGTCATTTACCTTTTGTGTGTTCGTAGAAGGTAGAGATATTTGTTGTGATTGCTAAACTAGAACAAATTTTTAAATTGAATCGTCATCTCCATCAAAAGAAACCAAGAAAAAATCACAAATAAAATATACCAAAAATATTAATTTAACAAGAGTGACATAAAAAAATTCCAATTTGGAAATAACCATGGATTCAACACACACATACAAATAAAAAAAATCCAAAATCAAAAGTAAGCGTTAACCAAGAAAAAGAACACGAAAAGAATTCAGTTCACCATAAAAGGTGGGTTATATTGTGTGAGAGTTGACCTTTGGAGAAAAAGAAGGCAAAAGGGTCGTTAAAAACATAAACACAAAAGACAAAAATCACAGAACTACAAGCTTCAGACAATTAGAGATATGCATCCAAATATATGAAACCCAACACAACAACGCTTACAAAATTATCTCATCCTCCTATTTCGGAGTTGTGTAGTGCTGTGCTTTGCATTCTCTCTCTTCCTTTATAGTGATAAAGAAGAAGTCTACGACGCATCAGATGAAGACAAGACGACGCAAGTTGCAGCCATGGGACATTAAGGGTTCCTTTACTTTTTTATTTTATTGTAAGGGAATTAAGGTATTTTTCAAAACAATTGAAGTTTTTCTTTTTAGATATAGAGGGGAGAAATCTTGACTCTGGTATAAAATTTAAAAGTTTTACTCTTCATCCTAACTGTTGATTTATAAAAATCAACGTTTAAGATGAAGAGTAAGACTTCTAAATCTTACATTAAAGTCAAAAAAATCTTGTGTAAATCAATAAAGCTAATGTGCATTCATAATGACAATAAGAGGCTAGAATTTCAAAAGAATTACATTTGAAGTTAAACTCTTTAATTATATAAGAGTTTACCTCATAATAAATAAAGCTCGCGCTTTATTTATTATGAGGTAAACTCTTATATAATTAAAGAGTTTAACTTCAAATGTAATTCTTCTGAAATTTTTGCTTTCTTTATTGTGATTATGTATGCCCACCCCTTTAGCTTTTTTATTATGCACAGTAATATATTATTGTCTGTAATTATATCCTCCATAAATATTAATAGAATTGGCAAAACGGGCTCGGTTCGGCGAGCCAACCTGTCCCACCCACTAAATGGGAGGAGAAGACTTATTTTTTGGCGGGTTAATGACGGACATAGACAGATCGAGACGGGCCAGTATAAAATAAGCTCAGACTAGCAGTTCCGTCAAACTGCACATGGTAGGCCGAATTTTTTAAAAGAACGAGTCAAACTGACTTATTTTTTTAACAAATTAATAGCAGAGTAGGATGGGAGACAAGCCACCTTTGTCACCTCTGAATACTAAACATCTACAATTATCTCCTCCATAAGTACCTTCTGTCGACATATCTCGCATTAATTACAATCCTCTTGGGCGAACAATATATTAATGGATTTGTCATTTCAGTGATTTTCAAGTGTTACATATGTGGTGATGATTATTTTAGAAAAATATTACTTTCATAATTTATCTCAGTTAGCTAATTATCGATGTGAGAGTATTTGGAATTTACATAAAACATCCAAGTATCATTCAAATACAAATGAATAAACACGCTGCATATAGCAATTATTTAGAAGAAGAATATGACATGGTTGAATTGAGTTTAGACGAAATGAAAAAGCTTGTAGAACCAATTCAGTACCCAAACTAAATATATTATTTTATAAAAAGAAAGAGAAAGAATATACATATAGGCATATAGCCACGGCACACAGAGGATCTTTTTGGGAGATGAAATATGAAGGACTCGTGCTAAAGAAATAGCACACCAACTTAAATTACGTAAACCCCCCACCCCCACGGCCCCACCCACACCCCCAAAAGAATGAATGCCAGTTTCTTTCGAAATGGATAGGGGCAATTTGGAAAACTATGCCTCGAATATCGCGTCGGGTCCGAATCCTCATTCTGTTAGGGAGTGTGTGGGAGACGGTTTTTTCCCTTGCACCAAACACACACAGCACTCCACTCCACTATAAAATCCCATTCTTCGACTTCTCCCGCTTTCAAATTCCTTTCTCTCTCTAAACTTCCTCTTTCTTTCTCTCTCTCGGAGAAGCTCAGAACCAGCTGTGAGGTAACCGCTTTGCTTAGTTTCTCCTCGTCTTTATTACGTTCGAGAAATTTTCCCTATCTTCACTGGAGTATAGTTTCTTTTAGTTTTTTTCTTTTTTTAGTATGCCAGTTTCTTTTAGTTTTTCTTTGAATATTCTCATGCACATTTCTTGAATACTCTATGTGTTTGTTCGTTGTTTTCTTTTATCTCACAGGAGTTCATGTGGAATTTTGATGAATCTGTGAAATGATCATGATCTGGAAATTGATACATGAATGCGTTCATGATTTCGGTTAATTTTTTCTGAAATTTTTATTTATCTTAATTTGCCTGATTTTGCAGCACTCCTGCACCGAGAAAAATGAATAATAATAATGATGCTTGCTCTCCCTCCTTCAACGGCGGATTTGGCGCCAATACCGCCGGTCAAATGCAATCGAACGGCGGCGTCTTTGCTTCCTTGTACTCCGCTTTGTCCAATGAGAATATTTCCTCGCTCTCAGCAAACTGCAGCAATGGCGGTGGCAGCGTCTCGCTTTACCCTTACTCTGACTCGGGAACTCAGTATGACTCATGCGTCATACAGAAACACCAGGATATGGTGAATCGTCACAGCATGTGCCTAAGTCGCCTTGTGGAAACTTGCAAAGAGGTCGAAGCTCTGCGGCAAGAGAATGGCCAGCTCTGTGCTGTGAACAAGGAGCTGCAGAAGCAGCTGAACATCGTTATTCAGGCTTCTCTGGAGAACCAATTCGGTGGTGGTTCGTCCGGCCAGACGCCGTTTGATGTCTTGCATGGGTTCCGTGGCTTGAACATTGGGGATGGGCAAGAGAACTGTGCTGATTGGAATAACAATAATAATAATAATATGGAGCTGCAACAAGTTTCGAATGAGAGTCCAACCAGCGTGATTGAGAATAACGGTGTTGAAGTGGAGAGGTTCTCGTTGCCAAAGAGCATATCTGTGAGGTCCAATGGCTACTTGAAGATGGCCCAGTCTGCGGCCGTTGCCAGCAATAATAATGCTTGTCGCACTAAGGGTGCTACTCGCCCACGCGCGCCCTCCACTCCACCTGATGCCGTTGTAAGGACACACGTTCACACATGATCCTTGCCTTTAATTACAGCTTTTACTATTATTATTATTATTATTATTGTCTTCTTTGCTTAGCTGTGTGATTATTGCTTTTATTGTTATTTACCGAACTTGACCTGCCTGTTAGTTGCTAATTCTATTTCTTTCAAAAGAAGTAAAACCTTGCTTGTCCACGTCATTTCCTGGTAGCTGCAACGAACGGAGTAGTTTGGCTGTTTTTTTAATATGCGTGTGCTTGTTTTGCAAGGGTGCAACTCTAGTTAGTGTTGGGGTTCACAGGATCCCGTGGGCTCTAGTTTGTTATAAGGCACAAAAGAAATAGCCCAACTCTGAAGCCTTTCTGTGACATTTGTAACCTGTGTGGTGGCATCCTGGGCTTTAAGGGTCTTAGGTTGGGTTCTGGCTTTTCCCGTTTCCTTGTCTTGCCAATGTGCTCTGTCCTGGGTATCGTGCCAAAAGTCATGTTAAAATTTGTCATGTGAAGTTTTTGTATTTATTTATTTCTTTATTAATATTGATAAATTATAATTGGACTCACCTATTTAATGCACTAAAAAGAGAGATAGACACAAATATTTCAATCATGTCCAATTTTTAAGATGAGAGAATCCTCTACTTGCTTGAGCCAAGTGTATCCTGAAATAGAAATACAAATGCTTGATTAAGCATCCAATCTAGAAAATCATTTGACAATTGAATAGTTATATTGTTAAAGGCTGTAAATGCAATACTAAATGACAATAAGTGGATGGTATCTTGATCTGATTGTTCCCATCCAGAAGAAAGGGGGGAGTTCCTATTTTTTATTTGTTGATTAATTTATGCTATATGATTATTGTTGAAATTTTGAGTATGTTGCTATGCTACAGCAAAAGGTATATGTCCGTGGAGGGCAGAAGGAGGAAGAGCCACTTGAGATGTCAGTGTATAACCAAGGGATGTTAAAGACTGAACTGTGTAACAAATGGCAGGAAACTGGCACATGCCCATATGGAGACCATTGCCAATTCGCTCACGGTATTGGGGAGCTTCGCCCAGTCATCCGCCATCCACGCTACAAAACTGAGGTCTGCAGGATGGTCCTTGCTGGGGTTGTATGCCCATATGGCCATAGATGCCATTTCCGCCATGCACTTACTGAACAAGAGAAAGCTATACCGCAACCTAAGCACAGATCCATGAAGCTGGAAAGATAAGATGTCATTTGTAGGATATAAAGTCTGATGAAGTAAGTAGTGTTTATATGAGTCAAAACTTAAACGGTACATAATAATATCTTATTGTTTAGATACAAACATGGACAAGTATTTGCTAAAAATAATTACTTTTCTAATGAAAAGTAAGAAAAAAGAAAATGGCTTGCAGCAAGAGGAGATCTAGAGCAGGATTTTTGGAAAAACGTGGTCGGTCGTCATGTTTCTTTTTTTTCTCTCCATTAGTTTAACGTTTTGATTTTTGAACACCACATACCTAATACGTCAACCCAAGCAGACAAAGGGAAAGTAATCTTTGTAATGATACTCTTTGATCCTTTGCAAAGTAAGCAGCTTCTGATCGTGGTTGTAATATGTTTATAGTGTAGTCTATTTTTGGTTGCCTGTACTTTTGCTTATAATACAAATATGAGTTTTATAAGAGTTACGTTGTAGGAAAAGTAATTGTGTAATGTTATAGAGACTTGTTTTGCGTGTCTTAATTTTTACTTTTATTTTTGCTTCAAAAAGTGTGAACTCCACAAAATATTGTGTGTGTAAGAAATTTTTGTGTGTCATATAACATGATAAATGCAAACATCTACAAATATACTTGACTTTCTTTTGCTTATCAAGTAGGCCAAGAGTTTATGAAATAAGCTTCGCACTTCGTCGTATTCTGTGGGTGTCCTGTGGCAGGATAGTATTTTGCTATTTTTAGTTTTTTACTTGCATTTAGCTGAATATTCCCTGGCCTTGGCTCAATTGTAGACGTAGTTTTGTGTTCGCTCCTGCCAAACTTTGTCCTGAGAATCAACTAGCCCAGAACTAGAACCACCATGCTTATTTGGGCTTCCGAAAGATCAGTATACTAGGACATCGGAAGCCTGGACCCTTCTTCGGTTATGATATACATGCATATAAGATAACTGTAGATAAGTGCATTTTTTTTTTTTGGTACATAGATAAGTGCATCTTTGAAATGGGCCAATCTCAGAACAACCAACTATGGAAACTTTTTCTTTTCTTCTTTTGAAAAAAAAAGGCATATGCTTCAAAAGCCATGTGTTGCAAATAATAAAAAATTAAAAAATATGAGTGGAACGAAAATAAGGTATAGATTTGGACAAAAAGTGAACCCGAGGCCGAGGGTATCGTGTATTTTTGGATAGACATGGCGTGTTGCTGGGTACGTGTCAGTCCATGTCTTTAAATTAACAATGAATGCTCATCTTTTACTGTTTTACTTTTACCCTCTCTATCTCGCTGGCCTTGTTTGACCGTCAGTCAACTACTCCTATCCTCTTATATTAATTGGAGGTTCGTGGGCTATAATGGTTCATTCATTGATTGAGAGTTGAGATAAGAGAGAAAGGGAAAGGGAGAAGAACTTGAGGAAGTTATGGGAGATGGGAGGGTCGGCAAAGCATATCTGAATGTTGGATATGGTTTTTTATCATTCCTTTGCCGATTCCACCCATTCCTATGATTTCCTTTTGTTCCCCTCTTTCCACTCTCCTCTTCATTACTACTGCAAGGATGCAATCCTTCTTGCAACCGTACTCCTTTCTGGTAAAGTTTCTTCTTCGGATCTGGTGCCCCCTTCCCCTCTATTTTTCACTATATATATAGATCTATTTTATTTTTGGACCTCAAGAGCAAGTTATCTTAAATGGGCATATCACTACAGAAACCAAGTAATTGTTTCCAAGTAATTGTTTCTTTTTTCTGCTCGTTCTCCTTGTTTAAGGTTTAATTATCTCAACTCACTGATATATATGTGTTACTTCTATAAATTGATGATTCCATTTTGATAGAGGAGTCTTCATCTTTGATAGATCTATAGATCCATGATTCCATTTTCATATATCAATAACCTGGGAAAATGTAAGTAAATGCCCAAAACAAAAATTCAATAGTTATGTATAAAAAAAAAAAAGTCAATATTTAAGAGAAATTGTCAGCATCTTTAAGAGAAGTTGTCAGCATCTAATCCAAAATAAAAATATAAAATTATCATTAAAAAGGAAAAAGGAAATGGCTTAACAGGTGAGTTAGGGTCTCAGACTCTCAAGGGATATTTACCGTGTGGTTCGTTTAGTATAGTTTAGTTTACAGTTTATAAATCATGCAAATCAAATTAAACAGTAACTCAGTAAGTACATTAAAATTGAACTAAAGTCAATAGAAAAAAAAAGGGAAATAGTATTCTCATTTTATATGAGATAGTTATTTCATTTTATCTCACTTCGAAAATTGCACCCAATCTTTTTTTTTTTTTTGCTTTTTAATGATGGACTCCACTTGGACTCTCTCTATAGCATGAGAGAACTACGTAACGTGAGATTAATATTTTTCAAAAAAAATTCATAATTTAATCGATTCTAATATCAGAAAAAAAGAGTGATTATATAACAGTATTTGATAGAAATAATAAATGAAAATCGCAAGCAGTAGACTAATATAGCTGTGATGAAGGGGGAAGACTGCTACTCAAAACATATTCAGATCTTCTACTTGCTTATCATTACTATTATTCTTCGTTGGCCATCTATTTGGTATTCTCCTAGTTCGGTATGTTCCTGGATGAAATGTCAATATGGCCCGAAAAGTCTCAGGATTTAGAAATTTCTCTGTAACTTGGTAGAATCGTTTAGAGGTTCGTTACCGAGTTGCTCTACTATTGATGTTATTGTTTCATTTTATAGCAGAACCAATTTTGTAACTAGTAAATGAAATCCAATTCAGATGTTTGTACAGAAGACCAACTAGGATACAAATGGGTACTACTTGTTTCCTTTTCTCATTCGGGCTTGAGCAATAATGCACAAATATTCCTTCAGTTTTCATCTATAAAACCTATTCATAATTACCTTCTGTTCAAAATGGTACCGAAATCTATCTTATCTCTGTGATTTGTTCAAGATTTATGTGTGTATCGACCTAATTATTAATTTATACAGTTTGCATTTTTAAAAAAATAATTTCAAAACAGATTAGTATGAATTAGCATAAGTTAGTGTGTTTTTTAAATTAAAATCATAGATTAATGCACAAAAAGAAAGTGTATTGATATAATGTCAAAATTCATTGAGCATTTTTACAGTTTTTATTAAAGTTTGTAATCCTTTTTTCTTTTTCTTTTTTGAAAAAAATAAAGTTTAAGGCGTAAGAATATTTTTTAATTTGAAGGTCAAGTGATGATCTAGAACAAAATTATAAATTGTCTATCATACAATCTTCGGGGCTATTTGATCATTATATTTCTTATTAATTAATTAATAATTATTTTGTTCCTGATTTAAAACTATTTATCAATCTGCTTCTCTTTAATCGACTACTTTGCATTTTTAATCGACTAAACGGTTGTTGGGAGATTTAATCGACTAAATCTCCCTACTTAATCGATTAAAAAATCATACTGACTTGTTTTTCTTTGTTGTCAAATATGGAGATTTAGTCGACTAAACAAACAGATTTAGTCGACTAAATCTTCCAACAGCCATTTTTGCTGTTTTGGCTATTTAGTCGATTAAAAATGCAATGTAGTCGATTAAAGAGGGGTAGATTGATAGATAGTTTCGAATCAGGGACAAAATAATTATTAATTAATTAATAAAAGACGAAAGGGTGAAAAAACCCAATCTTCGGATTTGAATATAATTAATAAATTGTACGAAGGTTCATTATATTATTAATCAATTACATTTTGTCTATCGAGATGTTAAAAGAGTATGGCTTTGAAATAGTTACTAAATTATACTTGGAGCAGAAAATTTTCGACGAATATCACGCAGGTCAGGATAATAGAACTATTCAAAAGAAGACTAGACCAATTATAATCAATTTTTTTAATAATGTGATGACAGAAAATAAGTTTTTAATTTATACATTTAAATAATGTGATATAAATGAATGATCTTATATTTTTATTACACCTCATTACCATACACCGCTCAAAAAATTTAGAATATTTATTAGAAGATAGAACGATTGAATTATAAATTATTTGGTAATAGCGACACTAATACGAAAATGAAAGGGACAAAAGAAAACAATATTCCGTTGATTGCCCATCTACTTTAAAAGAGAGTATTATATACGGGATATGTTATATAACAAAAATTTTATTTATAAATTCTTGCTAATTATATTATATTTTATCGATAAGATACTTTTAAATGAAGTCTTACTAGTAAGATATAATATAATTTGTAAATTTATAAAAAACAATCGTCAATATAACAATGGAAAAAGATATATCATTTTAAATGACACAACTTACATCCTTTCACTCTCACAAAAAAGATTATACTCACATCTTTAAAACTTTTCCCCCTACTCTCTCATGATTTATTTCTTTCTCTCACTTAAAATAACATAATTTTGTCTCCTTTAAAATGATACACATTTTCTCCGTATAACAATCTTCATTGTATACATGCAAAAGTTCACGAGTAAAATTTAAAAATTATGTTTACCAAAAAAAATTTAAAAATTACGAAAATAAAATGATACTAAAAAATATCAAATTATAATATTTAGAAATTATTCACATAATATTTACATACACGAGAGACACTGATCCTGTATGCACGTGTTTTTGTTTATTAATTTTTGCTCAATATATGCATGATTGTTTTCATATTAATTCACGTGTAATATATGTATGATACCAATTGTTTTCTAATAATTATTTAAAATAAAATTAAAAACATATTAGCATGATGACATCAAGTGAATTAGACCATTATAATTTACTTTTTCCAAAAATAATATGATGACATCAAATGATTTATTAAATTTATTAAATAATGTTATAATATATTACTGAATGATAATATAATTTTTTATTAAAAAACATGATAATATATCATTAAGAGATGGTGTAATTTTCTTACACTGAAAATGTATTAATCAAATTAATATTTAAATGAAAATAATCCCCTTCATAAACATTTATACATATATTTCTTACATTTATATAATTTTTTTAATTTAAT